GGCCTGCTTGGCCCTCGACAGGCCTGCTTGGCCCTCAACATGCTCGCCCGGCTTGCTTGGCCCTCGACATGCTCGCCCGGCCTGCTTTGACCCTCAACATGGTCGCCCGGCCTGCTTGGCAGTCGACATGTTCGCCCGGCCTACTTGGCCCTCGACATGCTCGCCCGACAGATAACACTGGCTTGGTGTTATATGGGAAGGAGCTTAGCGGACAGGACCTGGGCGGGTCAACTGCCCGAATGCATGGTTGAGAAAAAGTGGGAAATAATTACTTAATTTTTAGTTCAAGTTGCTGCGAGCCGGATACAATCTTGTGGTGGACCGGATGTATCCCGCGGTACGTGGTTTGCAGACCCCTAGTTTAATGCTGTGTGGGTTAACCGCAGAGTCTTCACAGTTGGGACGCGGTGGTAAGAAATTAATATTTAGTTTACCTTAACAATATGCAGTTAAAAAGCGGCTATGAGAACACCCAATAAGAATGCATATGCCACACATAGGGTGATTTTATATGTATCCTGCCTGGTAGACGGTAGACTGTCCGGATGCGGGGATATGTTAATGTGCTGTGTCTTCTTGTCCAGAACCGTACAACTATGCTTAGTTGGTAAAGGTCATTTTAACTAATAGGCAGAGTGGATATTTATAACTCATTTTTGCGTTTAAATTAGTCAACATTTAAATAATGTCTCTAATTAGTGAATTTTTTCAAATTTTTCATCCTGTAGGCACGGCTCAGAAATAATTCATTCAACAGGTTCACTTTTAATTAAGTTGTTCCGTTAGGTTTGCGGTATATTCACAAATTTGAATAGGTTTTTATATTAAACTGAATGAAAACTATCGCATGCATTACAGACAATGCATACATATTATCCTCAAATCTACATGCAATCAATGGAGATAATTGGCTTTAACATCAATTCAATATTATATCTGTCTGTAGATAAGTAGATCTTAGCATGCATAAATAATGTAGTATAAACATGCATCAATGTCTGCTTTCATTCCCAGGTATGTATTTGCAACGTGATTAGACATTATTCTGGTTTAACTTGCACAATAAATCTCAAGTAAAAATTTTTTTCAACTGAACATGTGCAAACTATATCGATTACAGTATTTTTCAGCACAGCTTATCGTACAATTATTTGCAAACCGAATTAAAATATGGTAAACGTATGCAGTTGATTACTCCTAATGATGATTAAAAAGATATACAGAAAACCTTCACTATTTTATCTCGAAGCTAAATTTCCTATATATGTTCATAACATCACAAGATACATAGTGCGGATGTCCATTGTTACATGTTATCAGGATGGCCCTTCTGTGTGGCCTTCATGCATAGTGAACACTCAGGATATTTCCCATTTCCCCTCACACGTTACATATCGCTTTTGCTACTGAGTCAACCAAAGGCATGGGGGCGAGGTCCACGTCCCGAAGGTTACCGTGGCCTGCAGGACGCTCCTGTCCTATATAACGTCCTGAACGCCCTCCTTCGCCATCACAACTGTTCCGGTGCTCACACAACAGCTACTCCCGCAGCCACCATGGTAAGAGATAACACTCACACAATGGCTTCTCTGCAACGTTATAGTATTGAATCATATATCATTTGTGTATACTGCGGTCAGTTCATACGACTTATTAGTAATTTATTTATTAATGAATTCCATTTTTTTTGTAAAACAGTGCTAAAGACAAGTTTACAGACTTTTTAAGTGCTTTTGGGCATTTTATCAGATGAGTGTTGAACATCAACCTAGATTTGGGTAGAATAATTTGGTTAAGCGATAATTGAATAATTATTTCTTAAATTAATTATTTTTTAAAATAAACTTAAGGTTTATTATTTAGCACCATTAAATACAAAAGTTGTAAATGTAATTTTGTATTAATGTAATTAACGAGGTTTTGTACTCACACCAGAAGGGAAGACTGAATGTTTTCCATAATTGTTTCCAGCGTTTCCTGACACTGACGGCGGTGCTGGCCATGATGGCTGGTGTTTGCTACGGTGGATTTCTTGGTGGTCTTGGTGGACTTGGTGGACATGGTGGTCTTGGCAAATATGGTGGCGGCTTAGGCGGATATGGCGGTGGTTTGGGCGGATATGGTGGTGGCTTGGGCGGTCTTGGTGGCTACGGTGGTTATGGAGGAGGATACGGCGGAGGATATGGTAAGCATAACGTAATTTGCCAATATTTTCCTGAACATAATAATCTCTCAGTATAGAGTATACTTAAGAGTGTGTGAACAGAGTAGTAATAACTATTTTATCACTCCACAGGAGGCCAGGGAGGACACACATTTGTGCTGAGCAAGAGCCACGGTAAGGAACCAACACTTATTTACTTGTTATACAGCGTTTGAAGAGTCATTTGCCTATACCTATATAAAAGGCGTCTTGCCCAGTGGTTCTCATGCTTCATCTATATTACTTATAGGAAGTTTCGGAGGATTCGGCCATGGGGGTAAATTTGGCCACGGAGGAGCCGGAGGATTTGGGAAAGGTGGATTCGGTAAATTTGGCCACGGAGGAGGACTTGGAGGACTTGGCCTGGGAGGCGGACTCGGCAGTGGCTTTGGAAAATATGGTGGTGCGTGCCTTTTAGTTTTTTATAAATGTTATATTGGAAATGAACTGAACAAGAATGTGTATTAAAACTCGAACATACAGTAACTCCCATATTTCACAATTTCAGGCTTCGGGAAGTAGAGGTGATGGAGCGACCTCGTCCAGGCTACGGCCAGCACCATACTATTCAATACTCCTCACTATACTGTAATAAAGCATTTGAAAAGTGACCATATCGATTCATTGTCATTATTTTTTGTCCCTTTTTGCTTGAGAAACAAAGGATCAGAGAAGCTGAGGAAGAATAGTCCTAAAGGCTTTTGCTAAAAGTAAGGACCCATACAGATTTTGCCTATATCTATAAAATATTTGCATGTATATATATTTTTTAAATATATATAAAAAAGTATTTTTCTCTAAAGTAAAAAAAAGATATACTAAGGCCCATAAATTTTGGGTGATAACAAATGAGTTTGAGACGTTGTTTCCCATCATCCAAGATATAATACAAGAAATATAAATTTCACAAGTCCATTATAAACATCAGAGAGAATTCCACAACAAAAAATTTATACAAGAAATATAAATTTCAATCACAAACCTCATTCTTGAGAAGAAGAAGCCATAACAGGTGATAAGAACACAATTGATTGTGAAATTTACGAGGACAATCTAGTTTAATTGGAAAATAAAATATTTAAAAACTAAATCCATTTTAGCTTTACCATTTTTTTTTTTTTTGCCTTTATTAGATAGGCTATTCAGACTACTTTTGATTGGAATACAATCCACTAATCATCTCACACCCAAATGAGGGACACTGCTGAATGTACAGAGAGAGGTGGAAAGAAGGTGGTGCTCAGGGTTCGAACCCAGGACTTCTCACTTGTGAGCTGAGCGGATGTATTTCCAGATGATTCAAATCATTCATCAACATCTGGGGAAAATAATGATATAATCATCAATAATTCAATAATTAGCGTCATAGTAAATTATTCCCGTTAAAGTTATTGATCAGCAAAGCGATAACTTACTATTCACTTTATAACAATTTAAACGATTCAATTAACTCTGAAGAAAAACACTAGTCTAAGAATGTATGTTCAAGTCAGTGTATTTAAACTAGCCACAACGAGTTACTATTTCCACCAGTCACGAGTCCCTCTACAAGTCGCGAGTCCTTCATCTGCTAGTCGCGAGTCCTTCATCTGCTAACTGCAATTCCCATCTCCACTAGTCGTGCGCTTTCTTCTACTAGTCGTGCGTAGGTTCCCTACTAGCATTTTTCTCTCTCCACTAGCATTGCGTGTCTACTGTTAGCAGTGAGTACTTCCTCTACTCAAATTGCTTCTCTGCATTTCTCCTTTAGAAACACTGCTATATATATATATTATATATAGCAGTGTCTTAATATACATTAAGAGCATCAATGCAAATAAATTATACATCAGTAACCTTAATTCAAGCAAAATTATACATTAAGAACATCGGAACAAATAAACTTGTAAATTACTCAACAGTTACATCAATACAAGAAGGCTACAATACATGATTCAACAAGTACATCAGTACAAATCGGCTACAGTAAATTATTCATAAAACATCAATGCAAGTACGCTGCAGTAAATTATTCCACAGCAACATCAGTACAAACAGACTACACTAAAATATTCAACAAGAACATTAATACAAACACGCTACACTAAATTATTCAACATGAACATCAATACAAGCAAATAAGCTACAGCAAACTAACCAATAATTTTGTCAGTGGAAAGTTAAAGAGCACTAATATCTTTAAACTTATTTAAAGAAAAGCAGAAAGAAAGTTGAGACTGTTTTCCTTCATTAACTTACAGTGATTACATTTATGTTTGTCATTATCATTAACTTACGGATTAGTTATAATATGAGGCATTTATAACTAAAATAGAGATAGATCAAATTACAATTTTGTTGGCTTCTAAAGGAGCGGTAATTTATCAATCAATATGAATCTGTCTGACAGTATGTGTGCCCGCTGTAGGAGTCAGTCACTAGTGAACGGAGTCAAGGGAAGCTCGCTCTTCCCCCCCCCCCAAGGGACACCACCCAACCCCCTCCCTGCATCTCCCTCTTCCCTTACCCTTCACTAACTTCCCCCCCTCATTTTCCCATTTTTCCCATTACTCTTTTATCCTACCACTCTCCAAAACTCGCTACCATCTCTTGCCTTCCCCTCAAATGTGTGTGTGTATATATATATATATATATATATATATATATATATATATATATATATATATATATATATATATATATATATATATATATATATATATATATATATATATATATATATATATATATATATATATATATATTATTGTCTCAATATACATACCTGAAATTGAAGTGACATTAATGTTTTTCGGCAGCTTTATTTCCTTAGTTTCCCAGCTGTTTTCTCTACCGTGTATGATGTAATAAACTATTTCTTTATATATATATATATATATATATATATATATATATATATATATATATATATATATATATATATATATATATATATATATATATATAAACAGACCCACAAACCGAACTCGTTATGGAATATCCTGGTTACCTGACAAAAATATAGCTTCCAGCTCACTCTGCTAGTTAATAACCCAATATCCTGAGAATATTTTCCTTCCTTCTCAGATGATCTGAGAAGCTTGCCTAAGTTTTGAGATCCTGAACAAAAAATTACTCATATTTTAGTCAATAACTTCAATGAATTTATATTTATAATTTCTTCAAGCAAATATTTACCAGTTTAGTGTTAGATGTCCCTCGCGTCACTCTCGTCACAGACAGATGCCGCTACTCTGAAGATAATGGTCTCGGCCACGCCCAAAATACGAGTGACGCTCCTGAAGGACTGGCCGCTGGCTGAGCCTGGAGCGATCAACCAAGGACGTTGAGGCTATCATCTCGGGACACTTTGTCACCAATGTCAAACAGTGGTTTGTTTAAATCAGAATTGATATTACAAATTTTAGTTTCTTATGAATGCCTTAGAATTTTTAGTTTACATTTTTCGACAATCGTATGAATTGGATGGCATCGTTTCTTGTCAGACGCTGTTTTGGTCACTGTTAAGGTAAAAAATGTGATTATGGTCATCACAAATGGCCTTGAGGGACAATTCAAGCTATAGTGTTATATCTGCAGATATGGAAAGAATAAGTAATTATTATTGTCAGTAGTCACAACATCTTAGAAATGAAAATGAACACTATGCCTAAAGAAGTCCTTGATCATAAAAAATAGCTTTAATAGAACGATGGAAATGATCCTTCAGTTTCCAAAATAACATGTCATTGGTCAAGTTCACGGGTAAACATAAAATATGATTCCAAATATGAAAGTCACTATTTATATTAGGACTGGAGATGATAGGGCTAGATTCAGTTGGTCTGCCCCGTTAGCAGATTTTATGAACACAAATTTTCCATTGTCTTTTAGTCTAATACTCTTAATAACAGCAGCGAGACATTTTGCTGACAAGCTGACCTTACATCTTTTTTATATATTATTATTAGTAGTAGTAATTCCGATATTTACGTGGCTTGTGTCAATAGTTTCACTATATTCAAATGCACACGATGACTCATAAAAAAATGTTAATTTGTTTAAAGTTATTTGCAAAATGAAAAGAAATTCAGCAACAAACATTAGCCATATACAGCTTTTGTGTAACTACTGAAAATCGGTATTAAGTCAACCTGCAATCAAAACCATTTGTCTTGATATTTTGTAGTTTTGTAAGTATATTTTTTTCTACTTTAAAAATAAATATTAAATATATATATATATATATATATATATATATATATATATATATATATATATATATATATATATATATATATATATATATATATATATATATATATATATATATATATATATATATATATATATATATATATATATATATATATATATATATATATATATATTTAAAAGCAACTTTATAAAACCTTTATAAAAATCAGAATAAAAATAATATTTCAAATAACTTTAGAAGAACCAAAGACAAATTAATTTCCTAACATATCACAATGTGATGAAAAGTTCTTGTAAATTTTATTTCAAATATTTCACTAACAGTATAAATAACTTTATTTGATACCTTTGCATTATTTATTATTTTCAGTCAAGAATCTTACCAAGACAAAAAAAAATTCTACAAATTGTTGCTCTCCATCTGATCTCTCTCTGCCACAGAGTCGGCAATACAATGACCCAGGCGAGTTGACCTTCATGGCATGAATACTCATAACATCGACAATTTTCCTTTGTAATACAGCTGTTGTGTTATTGTCTCCAGCCACACCCAGGGCGTGGAGGTCCTCGTCCTGAAGGCTACACCGGGCGGGTGAACCCAGCAGTCCTATATAAGATCCTCAACACACTGCCTTCCCTCACATCTCAAACACACGACTCCGCCAATCATGGTAAGAGCAAATTCTTAATGAAAGACAATTTCTTAACCTGTAACATCTTATTGATCTTACATTTTGTAACATCTTGATTATATTGCTCTAACGAAGTACTTTTTTTCAGCGTTGCCTGATGGTGCTAGCCTTTGTGGTTGGCGTTTGTTATGGAGGACTGATTGGTAGTTATGGTGGTCATGGTCTAGGCCTCGGTCATGGCCTTGGTGGGATTGGCGGATATGGTGGTGGCTTTGGTGGATATGGTGGTGGCTTAGGTGGATATGGCGGTGGCTTGGGCGGTTTTGGTGGCTACGGCGGCTATGGTGGAGGACACAGTGGAGGATATGGTAAGTATCAACTCTTCGGTCATTAATTCCTTTATATAATATTATTTCATTATTTTGTTCAAAGCTGTGTATGGACAAAACAAAAAACATATATTTGTTTTCATTCCTCAGGAGCGGAAGGAGGACACACGTTTGTGCTGAGCAAGAGCTATGGTGAGGCTACAGTTTTTGTTTGTTTTGTTCAAAGTTGATGATAACACACACACACACACACACACACACACACACACACACACACACACACACACACACACACACACACACACACACACACACACACACACGCACACACGCACACTCGAGTGTTACTAGTGGTTCTAACGATTCAGCTGATTGCTTGCAGGAAGTCACGGAGCATTCGGAGGCAAGGTTGGACATGGTGGATTTGGACTTGGCGGAATAAAAAAATTTGACCAGGGCGGACACGCTGGGTTAGGAGGCCTTAAAGCAGGCCTGGGAGGACTTGGAGCTGGCCTGGCTGGACTCGGTGGTAAGTGATTACCACTTGCTTTCTGCTGTGCTATAGTTAGAATAGTCTTGGCCTAGTCTGTGGGTTAAATCACAAACTGTAATACAAATTTCATAATTCCAGGCTACGGTAAGTAGGGTGAGTGGAGTAGCCGTACCTCATCCTGATGTGAGCCAGCTGCACGCGAGAGCAAGAACCAAAGACTTCGTCATCACTACTGGCATACGATTATCTTAAAATTGTATAAAAAACTTATGCATATACGCTTTCATTGTTTTATTTACTCCCTTTAAGAATAATTTTTGGGCATATAAAAAAGTTGCAAGAACAGCTATCATAAGCATTCAGGCACTACTAGTAATCTGTACTGGAATTAAACAAGTCAATGCTATTCTTTTAGAAAATATTTAGAAATATATACACAAGAGACCATCTCTTATTTCATATGTTATATCTTTATTAACCTTAATTAAAATATATCATTTAGCATTCAGAAGATAATTATTAGGAGAAAGCGCCAAGCCATTACGACTTGGAATCAGGATAAGGATTTGGGAAAATTTAACATTCACATTTTTTTTTTAATAAATATATAATTGAAACAGAGAAATATTTCTTTGGCCAGTAAGTATAACATTAGTGCTGGGCATCAAGTGGTTTTGAATTATTGTGCTTTTTAATTATATTATTCTTAAATGAAGACTAAACCCACACACCAGAAGATGAGGATACGTCGACGTTTCGGTCCGTACTGGACCATTATCAGGTCTGTCCGTCTTGGACCATTATTCCAATCGACTTCATAGTGGTCCAGTTCGGACCGAAACGTCGACGTATCCTTATCTTCTGGTGTGTGGGTTTAGTCTTCATTTAAGAATAATATAATTAAAAAGCACAATAATTCAAAACCACTTGATGCCCAGCACTAATGTTATACTTACTGGCCAAAGAAATATTTCTCTGTTTCAATTATATATTTATTTAAAAAAAATCTGAATGTTAAATTTTTCCAAATCCTTATCCTGATTCCAAGTCGTAATGGCTTGGCGCTTTCTCCTAATAATTATCTTCTGAATGCTAAATGATATATATTTATTATATATATATATATATATATATATATATATATATATATATATATATATATATATATATATATATATATATATATATATATATATATATATATATATATATATATATATATATATATATATATATATATATATATATATATATATATATATATATATATGATTGGCGCATGATTGACGGTCAAGTGCTGTATGTACTCTAATACATACTTACGAGAATACTTCTTTTATACTTTAATGTTGGTCAAAATATTAAGGAAATCCTCTCTAACTTTTGTTTCTCTTGTTTCATATTTTTCTCCCTACTCGAGAACCGAATTGGCCGTGTTGCAATAATTTATAGGTATATAATGGATCAACAAGCCTACTGCAGACAAGCAGACAATCTCTGTAAATTTTAACTGCTGAAAGCGCAGAAGCGGATCGAATATATCGCAGAATAGTCACAAAATACACGTGAAAATGTGAGTAAGGGAAGCGAGAGAAGAAACAAGTCGAACAGTTCACTAACTAAACGTTAATTATGATGACACATGTCTTTACAAAGTAGTCCAGAGAATAAAAGTCATGTAGAACCAATGAAGAAGCATTAACCCTCAATAAAAATTGCTAGTTATCAAAACAATAAACTACTAAATAAAATTAAAGATTTACCACATCCAGGTTTCCGGGACCAACAGAGATTCAAGGCCACACCACACCAGAGCTACTGCACAGAGGAGCAAGACCCACCTGGAAGATCACAATCGCCTAGAACTCAACATAAAATCAGCGTCCCGGGTAGGAATCTACACCTCCACTACGCACTGCAACGTTGACAGCGGAGATTGCTTCCTAAGCGTGGGAACGGAAGTGGGTCAACGGTCCGAGACACGAGATGAAGGGAAGAGAAATCGGAAATGCTTAATGTGATGTATAAGGCCAGGCACCCAACCGTTCACAGCTCCACAGTATAACACGCACCAGCTAGAAAAACATTAATAATCTCTCACGAGGTAACTTTCTTCACGAAAGCTGACGTCATTGTGGAAAAGGAAACCATTTTAGCAGTTACACACAATGAAGGAGACCCAAAGGGGTGAACAAGCCACACAAGGAGGGAGAGCTAAGGGGTGCATTAGGCACACAAGGAGGGAGAGCTAAGGGGGCGACGGTAGAGCAATGGTCTCGCTTCTTAGAGGACGGCGTTCAGTCCCAGACCGTCCAAGTTGTTGGGCACCATTCCTTTCCTCTGTCCAATCCCAAATCCATATGCTCATCATTCAAAGTGCTATATAGTCGTAATGGCTTCGCACTTTCTCGTTTTCTACAAAATAAAATACAAATAAATGTCTTCATTTATTCCCAGGTCTTCTCTTTTTACAGTCATCAACTCTGTATTGCTGTCCACGAGCAGATCTTTTAATTCTTGTTTCCATTATGCGTTACTTTACATGTGCCAACATAAAATTCATCTGCCATTAGTTAAATCAATTCAATAAGATGTAAAAGTCGGTTTGTAATCTTCAGGAAAGAGTTTAAATTTTATAAAAGATTGTTGAATGTAATTTTCCCAATCTACTGTTGAGCTTGCAAGAGAATCATGGGCGGAGCTTGCAAGAGCTTAATGGGCGGGGCCTGTGTGTTGGCAGCGACGAGGCCAGAGTGTTGGCAGCGACGAGGCCTGAGTGTTGGCAGCGACGAGGCCTGAGTGTTGGCAGCGAAGAGGCCTGAGTGTTGGCAGCGACGAGGCCTGAGTGTTGGCAGCGACGAGGCCTGAGTGTTGGCAGCGACGAGGCCTGAGTGTTGGCAGCGACGAGGCCAGAGTGTTGGCAGCGACGAGACCAGAGTGTTGGCAGCGATGAGGCCAGAGTGTTGGCAGCGACGAGGCCTGAGTGTTGGCAGCGACGAGGCCTGAGTGTTGCTCACGTCACAAGGCCGGGATCAAGGATCAACAGTGGCACGTTGCCTGCAGGATGGATGATGACGGACACCCTTGTAGTAACCAGCAACACTTTACTTAATGGATAAAGCGCCAGAGGCACTGTTTGGGATGAAGCTTCTAGCGTTGTGGTGCTGGCTTACGTGAAGGGGTTAGTGACAGCTAATATATTAATGTACAATTTAACCGTTGATTCAATAAAATAAATAAGCAAACGAGAAGAAATTTTAATATAAAAATAAGGACGTATTGCCTCAGTATAAAAGCCTAACGTATATGAATACACTCTGGATTTATGTCCCCCGACACAATGAACTATTTGGTGTGGGTGATAGAAATATAAGAGTTAACCCTCCCGTAACTTATCAGAGAAAATGGAATGAATTTACTGTGAATTCGATCTTAAAGCATCAAGTCTGGAGAGTACGAAGCAAGCGAAGCAACACTTGACTAAAGCTACATCAGCCCCCCCAACTCATTCTCGCACTTGCTCATAGTCAATATCTTGTTTATGAATAAGTGCATATGCGACATACTAATTTATTGTGAATATTTGAGTTTACCTTGAAATGCTGAATAGAAAACCACAACCTAACCTAACCTTCTTAGTATGTTAAAATTTTACAATTAGTACTGAACCTATCTTCATATTGATATTACAGTTTTATAAAAATAATAAAACAAAACTAAAATATTTAAATAAATCGTAAAGTAACTCAGAATATTGTCAAATTTTGAATAAAATCTCTGTTGCTTAATAAAACTGTGAGGAAAAGTTAGTGCCTTGAAAAAAATATGGCTTGCAATATGTCACATATGTACTTATTTATAAGCAAAATAGTAACTTTAAGCAATAAATCATATATGTGCTGTCTTGTGCGAGAGCGGATTGCAGCCCCATATGTAAACAGTAATTGTTAAGCAGCTGTGGCAGGATAAAAATAATGACTTAGGATAAAGGATCAAGATGGATAAAAAAGAATGACATGGGGACCAGCTTGTTAGTGAGCCGTGATGCGTGTTCCTGATTGGTTGGGTGTCCCATTGACGGAGACGAGACAGGTTGTCAGGCTTATCGAGGTTTCCTAGACCAATGGTTTCCAACCAGGGGTCAATGGACAATGGTCACTAAGGGGTTAAGGGACACCAAGGGGTCCATAAACCCTTTGGAGTCCATTGATATTCTTCATCAAGAAGAATAATTGACATTCTTCATCAAGAAGAATAATTGACATTCTTCATCAAGAAGAAGAATTGATATTCTTCATCAAGAAGAATAATTGATATTCTTCATCAAGAAGAATAATTGATATTCTTCATCAAGAAGAATAATTGATATTCTTCATCAAGAAGAATAATTGATATTCTTTATCAAGAAGATTTTCCTCATCAAGAAGATCAAGAATAATAATTTATATTCTTCATCAACATCCTTCATCAAGAAGAATTGATATTCTTCTATGGACCCCTTGGAATACATAGAAGAATTTCAAGGGGATCATGGCATTACAAATAGTCATTACATTACACTATAATAATTACATACACAATCAACATTTAATGATAGTCAACACATACGTGTTAAACTGAATGTCGCGATCCTGACATCACTTACATGAAGTTTTAACTGAGAATAACAGTGCAGGACTTGTTATGTATGAATGTTGGTATATGGCGCAACAATGGCTACTCTCAGTTGAAAGGAGGATTGAAGGGGTCCACAGGTGAGAACGTGGTTGAAAAAGATGGTATGAGGCAGGTTGAGAACAGGTTGAGGGCGCTGGGCCAACGACTGACATTCCCCTGGATGCAACTCACTTTTTTTTTAATTGCCTGTCTCTGGGATAATGCTTGAGGAAGAAATGCATCAGGTGAAAGGAAACGATGCAATAACGTATCCGTCTTGTGCTGGGACCGAACCTGGGACCTTTCATTCATTAACAGACTGCACTGACCACTGAATGTTCTTTTGGCTTGTGGTATTGCTTATGTCCCTTGTGTACGGATGCCCAATTTTTGGCTGCCTTGTAATGAGGATGGCCGGTGATGTTGACAGTTAATGTTGGCCGGTGATGTTGACCAGCCATCGCACGTGTTTCCGATGGGTATTTTTTTAAGTTAAGTGTACAAAATGTGGCAGCTCCCGGTTTTCAGGGTTTTCCCGAAGGTTGCTGAGGATAGCCGATCTCGGGAATTTTCGCGTGAGAATGTGTGTGTTCTGACTCTGAGATGTATTGACGGTTTTCGGGAT